GCGGCGGCAGCGGCCTCGGGCGCCCTGCTCAGCGCCTATCTGGAGCGCCACGGTCCTCCCGCGGCCTCCGAGTCGCCGGCGCCAGGCGGGGCCTTGGCAGGCGGCCCCGGGGGCGGCGGCGGCGTGGTGGTCGGGGTGGCGGAGGTGAGAAGCTGGCGTTGCTGCTGCCTCGGCAGCACCTGTTGGTGCCGGAGCCTCGTGCTGGTGTGCGCGCTGGCCGCCCTGTGCTTTGCTTCCCTGGCCCTGGTCCGCCGCTATCTGCAGCATCTCCTGCTCTGGGTGGAGAGCCTCGACTCTCTGTTCGGCGTCTTGCTCTTCGTCGTGGGCTTCATTGTGGTCTCGTTCCCCTGCGGCTGGGGCTACATCGTGCTCAATGTGGCTGCCGGCTACCTGTACGGCTTCGTGCTGGGCATGGGTCTGATGGTGGTGGGCGTCCTCATCGGCACCTTCATCGCCCATGTGGTCTGCAAGCGGCTGCTCACCGCCTGGGTGGCCGCCAGGATCCAGAGCAGCGACAAGCTGAGCGCCGTCATTCGCGTGGTGGAGGGAGGAAGCGGCCTGAAGGTGGTGGCGCTGGCCAGACTGACCCCCATACCTTTTGGGCTTCAGAATGCAGTGTTTTCGGTAAGTGAGAACCCTGGCCTAAGCCCGTTTTTGAGAGGTCTTATGAGCACCCAGGGAGGGCGCTACTTCAGGTAAGTACCCTCAGAGGAGTGACACTGACAACAGGAATTATAGTTACTTTCCGTAGTACCCGAGAAATTCATCCTGCAGATTAGACAGATGTACTGTGGGTTCTGAACAGGAGATCTGGTAGAGAAAGAACTGCATCTTTTTTGGAATTAAGACATGATTAAAAAGGCGGCGACCTTTTAACTTGTCGGAGGCATGAATGAAAATGTCCATTTTTAACATCTGTCATTGTATTTTGGCAGCAGTTGGGGAGTATGGCTTCACATCCTCAACTTTCTTTCTTGTCTGCCTTAAGGTATCCAAGGCTTTGACTCAAGTTTTAGTGACGTGGGGCTGAAGGATGCATGAGCAATGGAGGGGATAGTTGTGGAGTGTTTTGGACTTTCCTAAATTTGTAACAGGACTTTTCTTCTTCAAATAATCTGCTGTTGTATGATATAAAGAAGAAAAGCCTTCTGTTTGTCTTTGCAGGGACTTTATCTTGAAACCATTGGGTCAATAAAACAAAATAGGACAGACGACCTTTTGGCAGTGAGCATGGATTTTCCTTCTTTATACTCATTCTCTGCACTCTTTTTGCATGCAAGTTCTGCTTTTTCTACATAGGTTTCTGTAGTTAGTGTACACCACTGTGCACCTGATTTAGCATAGAAACACTGCTAGCGACCAGACAATTTAGTTGGAAGAAAGGATTCTGATCTTTGCAAACTTCGTGACTTTGGAACAGATTAGTAAACCTATCTTCATTTCTGTAGTGACGGGGGTTAAACTAGATGATTGTGTTCTTCAAATTCAGTGATTCTAAAACAGACCTCCTATAAAGTCCCAGGAACACAGCCCTTCAACTTGAAACTGTTGAACTAAAGAGGTATCACAGTAATTTGGAATGGTCTCAGCCTTAAAATTGTATCTTCATAGCCCCATATAGTATGAAATACAAGCATGAACCATGATTCAACCTTGCATAATAATAGACCAGTTGCCCTAGGACTTGGAAAGAAGCTTGGAACTAAGGAACCTGTATAGATTCCTTCTGATAGCTTGCTTTGCCTTCCAGTATAACTTGTATCCTTGTGCCTTTTCTTGTCCACCTAGTATGTGCTGATTACTATGCTAGGCTCTTTCCAGATCTTATTTCTAGCCCTGCAGATGGTGGTTATGCACATATAGACTATTTGTCTGCCACTGGTGCTCTGGAGTCCTGCTGTTTTAGAATCTGGTGACCTTGGTCAAGTTGCTTATTTTCTCTGCTTCAGTTTCTATTTGGGAAAGTAATGGTACCTACTTCATAGGGTATTGAGAAAATTACATAAAATGAATATATGTAACAGACCCTGGCTTAGCAAACAGTCACATCTTGGTTTTTGTTGTTGACTGTTGTTAGTTTTTACCCAAGGTCACCTCGGTAGTAAATAAATGGTAGAGTCGAACTTTGAACTGTGGTCTGATGGTGGGGTCTCTACCCATGGTGTTACTTCTTCTTGTATATTTAGTGCCTAATGCAGTCATGGTTATATAATAAAGACTCATTATATATTTATTGCTTGATAATATGGTAGATTCTTTTTGTTAATGTCTCTTACATATTAAATATGTAGGATATTGTATTTTGTACTTGGAAATAATTTAAGGTATTCCTGTACAGGTAGTTGAAACTAAGCTTGACAAAGGGCAGCTTTCAATTTGACATGTCGGGATCTGGAAAAAAGAAGGAAAAAAAGTAAAATGGTCTATTGAAGTAAGTGTTATTGCCACCATTTTCCTGAGAAAGAAATGGGACTCAACCATCCAGGAAATTACACAGAATCACACACCTACCAGGAGACAGACCTGAGTGTGGGGCCCTGAATCTGCTGATACCGTTCATCTTACAGTAAAATTCTTAGAACCATAAGCAGGGTTCGTTGTGAATCCTCTAGATATATTATTGTGTCTTGTTCAACTTGTTATTCTGAACTGTTTGCTTACAGAAGTAGCACTTCCAACTAAAACAGCCTACTGAATTCACCTGGGACATGTAAGAGAAAAGAAAATATAGTTGAGACAGATGTTAGTTTTAGACTTTCCCTTCTGCCATCTAGAACTTCATTTTATCTCTGTCTTCTCTACCTCATACTCTGGCTGCCCACAGCGGCCCCTTTCCAGACATATTTCTCTTGCTTTATACTTCCTCCCTATCTTTGAAATTGTCTTTTTGGGAAAAAAAATTCCGGTTGCAATTCATTTTCTCAATACTCACCATTAAAATAATTTATCTGGGCTTATATAAGAGAGGAAGTTAGGTATCATGGTCATGAGAAGCACAAGCTTTGGAAATACCCTTGCTTAGTCCTTATTCTAGTGTGGCCTTCTTAATTTCCTCTATGTAAAATACAGTAGACATAAGTATCAAACTAATGACTAATAGTCAATTCTTGATAATTGCTAGCTATTATTATTAGTTGGAGGTAGTTATATTTGTTTCAGAGGCAGGGGCTGATTGTAGAAGATGACTATATAGAAAAAAGAAAAGGACTTCCTTTGCTTATCTCTTCTTAACCGTAAGTCTTTCCCTGTCTAATGTATGCTAGAAAGGAATAAGCAAGCTGACACTGCACTTTTGAAATTCTCAAAAGTCCTAACACTTTATAGTAGTAATTCTTTTTTTTTTTTTTTTTCTCATTCTGGGGATCGAGCTCAGGACTTTGTGCACAAGTCTTGGTGCCCATTGACAAATTTTGAAACACTTTATGTGTTTCAAGTACTGTTCTCATCCAAACACAAATCTAGGATAACATTACTTTCTTATTGCATTAGTCAGGATAGGCTAAATTATGCCACAGTAACAACCATCAAATCTCAGTGGACTAAAAACCAATGTTTGATTTATTCAGCTTGTCACAAGTCCAGGTCAGTCTTAATTTGGGAGAAGGTAGGAAGGGTCCTCTGATTTATGTCAGTTTTATCTGAGATTCAAGCTGACAAAGTCACTGTCTTGAACTTGGTTCCTGTGACATGGAGAATTGCTTTCCAGCTTTTAAAGTTTCCACATGTAAGTAATCTCATTTTTTACTAGCATGAACAAGTTACATGGCCACAAGGAACCTCAAAAGACTTGTAAGCGTGCCATGAAGGAGAGAGTACTAGAGCATCTGGTGGACTACCATCTGCTTCATCTCTGTGTCTGAGCATCATCCAAGTCCTGTGGATTCTGCCTCTTAAACACTTCAGTCTAACTCACTAGCAATCTTGGTACTCTCCTACATGAAATCCTCAGATGGATTTTCTTTTTTCCTTGGGATGAATTGCAGACATTCTTGGGCTTACCACTGTGGCCTGTCTCTTGCAAGCTATGATTATATGTGTCCTTTAATGTGTTCATTTATTTAGTCCTCAGCACTCTAAGAGGTAAACCGGATATTTCTTATTTAACTATAGCAAATAAAAATCCATCTGTAGCCTTGAAACTTTAGGTTCTTGTTTTTATCAATTGCTACCAAAAGAAGTATTAGGTGAAATAAGAAGGGATTGGTTGATATAGATGTAAGGAATGAAATCCTAAAAGAGTAAAGCCTTCTAGAAGAAACATGTTGATAAAGTTGAAAGTAGAAAACATTCGCAAGAATAACATCTCATTTTGCATTTAGTAAACATTAAAATTTCCTTACAAGATACATGCTATGATGTCCCTTGGAGACTTCAAAATTACTTCCTGTAAAGTGTCTTTGATCCACAAATATTACATGATAATTAGTTGTTATGGGCAGCAGATTTCCTCCTGTGCTAGAAACTTCCAAGAATCTGAGTCAATTGTTGTTAGCTTGCTGTACAGGAAATCATAAAAATCATTCTTTTTCGCTTTGGTTAAAGAAAAACTTAAAAGTCAAAGACTGGTGAATTCCTTCTGTTAAGCACATGAAATATTCCACATGAAAAATTCTGTTTTCCGTCATTCTTAAATCTTTGAAACCTAAAGCACAGTTTAGAAGATCCTGTCATTCATATGTTGTATACTATAATACTTCCCAACTTGTGGAGCAAATTTACATACATGATATCCCTTAATAATCACAACAGTTTCCAATAGGAGCCAATCCTAAGAAGCATATATACGGAACAAATACTGCAAACTTGGTTCTAACATTTACTTTGTCATGTTGCGGTAGTTTATAGTTGCTCTTTTGAACCACACGTTTTGTTGATAACACCTGCTGCAAAGCTAGGATTTAAAAAGAGAAAACATAGTTTGGTCATTATTTACTATTTGTTTCTTCTTACCCTCTGCATTCCAAAGTGAACACCTGAAGCTAAAAATTTTTTTTAAATTAACAAATATGTGTGTTGCTCATACTAAGTGCCAGGCACTGTCCTGTAATGCCCACATTACACGTTTAATGGTGACACCAGCCCTAATCTTCACCATGTAGCTGAGGCAGTTGAGGCACAAAGTAGTGAATAACTTGCCCAAGGTCACAGTTTTAAATGGTTAGAGTTATTCATTTACCTGTGTTACTAGTGTTAGTCTGAGAAGAACTGGGTTTCTCAGACATCTGGTTCCACTTGTCCTGGACTGCATTGTGTGTTACACACACATTGTGGAGGACCTCCCACATGTTGGACTCTGCAGGGTTCTACACAGCTGAGTTAGCTGTCATCCCAGGATGTTACAGCAGGGCTTAGCAAACTGCTGCCCAATTTTGTGTGGCATACAAGATAAAAATAGTTTTTCGACTTTTTGATGGCTAGGAAAAAATATCAAAATAATATTTCATGTGCATTAGAATTTTTTATGTGCATTAGAATTTCATGAAAGTCAAATTTCAGCATATGAAAATCTTATTATTTCAATACAGCATTGCTCATTCATGTTTGTGCTGTCAGTGGTCACTTTTAAACTAAAAAGGAAAAACTGAGTAGTTGGGACAGATCCAAAGCTTCTAAAACCTGCCTAG